GTATAAAACTATGAATAGGTATGATCCTTTATTATGAACAAGATATCCATTATATTTTCAATTTGGCTTTCCCCCCTTCATCTTAAAGAAAATTTGACTTTAAATCCTTATAGAGATAGTACCATTTGACTTTAAATAATTCCGACCGGCAAGGACTATCCTCCGAATCATCATACTAAACAAAAAAAGAAGGGAAACAAAAACCAAATAATATGAACTAAGTTTGTACAACTAAAAACAAAGTAGATTTGATTTCGTACTACAAGATCTAACATATAGTTCCATTCTAAAATTGACATACATATATAAATAAATATATAAATATATAAATATATATATATATATATATATATATATATATATATATATATATATAAACTGACATAAAAGTCAATCTAACTAAATTAACTAATAATCGACTTCCATTACTTATGCTATATTGATTAAGCACACTAATTATCAAAGGGCGCACAAGAGCATAGCACATAAGGTTAAAATTGTAGTGTTGATGAGAATATCAGTCGTGTGAAATGATTTATCTTCACTAGTTTTTTTTAATATTAATTTATCTAAATCAAATTTTATCCATTTAGCTATGACAACCTATTAGAAATCAAATAATAATAAATTTTAATCAAATAAGTCAATATGAATATACATTAGATTTGTCACAAATTCAGTCCAAAAATTAGTGGGTCAAACCTAATATATATAACAGAGTACTTTTAATTTTTAACTATATGAGATTAATTTTTTTGTCCATCTTTTTCTTTTTACGTAAAAAAATAAACAGAGAGGAAACTAGTATTATGCACTTTAAAAAGATTTAAATGTATTATAACTTATTCTTTAAAGGACCAAATATTTTATAGACAATATGGACAATTCATGTCATAACTTCAATTATGAATGATAACATGTCAAAAATTCATACCAGGGGTACACTATATCAATATATCTAAGTGACAACTTAAAATGTAAAATAAAATTTTTCTAAAAATTAACAACCTAATTATTTAAAGTTGGCCTCCATTATGATATCATCTTAAATACTTTATTTAAAAAAATTAATTTTTTTTTAAAATAAAAAGACATGGGTAAATTCCTTAAAAAAAGCTCATAAGTTTGAAAATTTCTCACAAAGTGTCTCTGACCATTTAAAAAAATTATTTTACTATTGACTCCGTTATCCTCACCATTGCCTCCTCCTCCCTATGTCATCCTTGTCATCGTCTCTATACTCTTGCCAAACTCATGAGTATCATAAGCATGGGCGTGGGTACTCACGCCAACCCTAACCACCCTCATCAAACTTTAGGGGTATTCTGCATGAGAAGGAGAGTAGTTGACGAGGCCAACCTACAGGCTAAGGGGGGTGGCTAATGGGGCCAACTCGTGCATGGAGGTATAGACATAGTCGGCGAAGTTAACCTATGCACAAAGGAGGCAATCGATAAGGCTAGCTCGTAGACAATGGGGGCTAGCCCACATGCAAAGACACAAGTACGACTAGCGAGACTAACCCATACATAAAGGAGGCCAGTCGATGGGGCTAATTCTTATGTGGAGGCGCAAGCACAGTCAACTCGTGCGTGAAGGCGCAAGCATGGCTAGCCCCATGCGTGAAGGCATATGCACGACTAATGAGGCCAACTCGTGCACGGGGGAGGGGGGGGGGGTGACCGATGAGGTCAGCTCGTATAGAAGCATAAACGACATGGAAAAGACAATAGATGAGATGAGGGGGGACGATAAACGAACAATAACCAATAAAAGTAAGATAATCATTTTGAAGAAAAAAAAACCGTTATATGAAAATTTTTGAAAGTTAGAATGTTTATAAAAAAAATTTCAAACTTAAGGATTTTTTTTATAAATTCACCGAAAAGATATATATTTTTTATTTAATTTTTTCTTTGTGCTCCTGTTCATCCATTGAAGCTTTCATCTGTCGTGGTTAGCTTAGCTTATGTGAAGATTTTTATTTTTGAGCTTGTAACATCTCATAACATATTTTTATTTTTGAGCTTAGCTTATGTGAAGATTTTATGGCAGTTGTCAAATCTCATAGGAACTATAACCACGTGGATGAGATTATTATTGTGAGAGAAACATCAATCTAATTTATCTCCGCAAAGAGTAAACGATGAAGATGCAATTCGAACTTAGACCTTGCGATAGATAATTACCAGTTAAACTAATTGACACATTGACATCAATCCAACTTTGCTAAACCACGTAACCTTGCACTTATTAAAACAAAGCTTAGATGACATCAATCCTAGTAAAGTTGAAAGAGGTACTCAGATCAAGGAACTCATTTTTCACATGTTATGTTTTCTTTATTTGATTTGTTTCAGATAATTGTGTTTTACACCTCTTTGTATTGAGGATGCGACTGATCATTTACTCGATCTCCTCCTCCTTCGTTTTCTTCCACAAAAGTCTCCTTGGGAGTGACTTGATCTCTCCCTGAAGATGACATACATACAAACGAAACATACATCTCTTCCTCAACCCTTCTCATTACTATTAGCATCTCTTCTACTGCCCACTTATTTTGCAACAGAGATGTGCCCATGTGTCGGATGTTCTTAAAGAGATGCTCTGGGTATTTTTGTTTATATTGAAATTCTACTAAATAATTTGATATCTGCTTACACCAAATAAAGATGGAAGAGTCTGACGATAGAGCCACATTCTAATTTGTGCTGCCAGTAAAAGGGATGGTAAGCATGAAAAGATGCTGCTGTTTACGCATATCAAATCCTATCTAAACCATATATTAAATACATATGATTAGAATGATGCAATTTAAGATGTATTATTAGAAATATAGTTCAAGATTTCGATATCAAGGAGAAGCCGCTTTTGCCGTCACTGATCACCCAACAGCAGCAGAGTAGGAGGTCACGAGAAAAGTATTCCTAGTTTCAATAACAGACTGTCTCATAACATCCTATGAAGGCGAACAAGAAGATGTAGAAAGGCATTGCAGTAATTGAACATGTACAAGTAGAAAAAGCTTGGAAAATGCCGAAGAATTGCTGCCGGTGATGTACGGTGTACCTTTTGTTGTATAGCATCATCCACTTGCACGAAAAAAATAATTACCAATGTCTGCAAAAGATGTCAACCAAATCATATTTATTATCAATCCTCAAACATCAAATAGATAGATGTATTATTTCACATCTAACTTGGAATTTTGCAGCAACAATAAAAGCAAAACACTCTTAAACACCATAGCTTGTTTCTAAGTGAACAAGTATGAAGAGTGTCACTACCATTTACTAACAATTAGTGAACAAGCATATACTTTGCCAGTTAAATACCCAGTGAATAATATTCATTGTAAACAAATCAGACATGAGAGACGCAGGTTTAAACTAGTAAACAAGCTGATCTTTCCTGGTAAATGTACCATTGTAAAAGAGTAATTTCAAACAAACAATGTTTACAATCAATTTTCCCGTGATTGAACTGGAATAATCAAGAATTTGTTGCTGCTAAAGTTATTTTAGATATTTCAAATTTGTGGTCAGAAAACATTGATAGTCCAATCAAGAACCTGTGAAGTGTTATTTATCGTTTCTCAGGCAAAAAAGAGACCGAAGATTCATAATATTTACGATGTATAAGACCACAATTCATAATTGTACTGCTGATTCTTAGACAATTACAGAAATAAGAGAGGGACAAAGCTTACTGGGTTCATCAAGAGCCTGTTCTTGAACTTTATTGAAAGTATAGCTTCCTAGTTGTCATCTGTTCCAAAATACCTATCTCCAAACTCTCCCATTCCAGGAATGACGTGAAAATCTTCATTTAAACCAAAGTCTATCTCAGATGTCACAATCTTGATTCTTGGGAATCTTTTGCAAACAACGTGCACTCCTTGAGGAGCCTAGTCACATTAAGGAAAGTAGCTTAGATGTGCTGTAATGATGTAACCACAAACTTATAAGCAGCTCAGGAGACAGGGAATGAATACATGATATAAGCGATTCAAGTGCAAACTAACTGGACTTACAGAAATGAGATTGAGAAATATTATATTGCTTTCTTGAACCCCCTTCTGCAGTAGCAAGGAAATCGCTTGAACAGCCGAGTTCCCTAAAATAACAAAGAATTGATCAGTGGAGAAACTGTGAGGATGCAATTCAGCCAAGCCATTTGATTAACACATAGATTAGAATAAGGAAAAAATCTTTACAAGGAAAATATATGGGAATTCCAAGATGTCAATGCATTGTTTATGCTGCTCAAATTCTAATATCAACATATTTCTCTGATTTTCTTGGAAAGATAAACTCAGTACAGGTAGCACTTGATTGGTTGACCATAGACAACATTTACGCTTTATCCTCTATGTAGTCCTTGTTCATGGTCTAAGAAGATCAATAACTACAATGTCTACAACATTGGACACTTGTTTTTTGGCAAACACATGACAAAAGAGACCCTCAATTTCCAAAAGAGGGTTAGCTAGCTGTACTATAGCAGCTTTTATCATCATCTGGTCTGAGGTAAAAATACAAACCTTGATTCTTCTAAAGAGTTCTAGTAGAGGCAATGACTCCTAATTCTCAAGAGCGACAAACCCGCTCAATTTTATAGAGTCCACATATGGTATAAGGCTTACTGTTTGCTAAATCCCCTTCTTTTGTGACTTGCACCTCATGCTGCATACCATTGCTGCCCCGTCCATCAGTTCTAATTCTTAGCCTCCGCCCCCCTCTTTTGAATTGTCTTCTCCTCTTCTCTTCCTCCTCTTTTCCGTCTCCTCCCTCCCGGTACCAAGGTACTCACATGCGTACCATGTGTTGATATGTTGCTTAGTACCAATCCGGCTAGCTATTTGTCTGAGGAACAACATCTCAATGATGCTGGGGAATTGAGATGATAAGCCTTCGTGGAATTTTTCCCAGATTAGCACTTATAACTAGGCCTGCCAGGACTATGTGAACTTCCTTCGGACTACATCTTCATAAAGGCTACCTATCTCAACCCATATTTAGTGATAACATTTGCACCACAGATAAAGTTCATGGCTTAAAGTAAGAAAAATCTCAACATATCATACTAAAATGACCAGATACTAATCATCTTTGGGATCTTCTATTCAATTTTATGGTTGTCATTTTCTTTTTGTGGACAGGAAGGCCTAAGAGGAATAGCACAGAGAAAAATGGTTCTTAGAAGGCTGCATAACTATCACCTTTCAGAACCTGTGGAACTCACATGACAGGGATCATATGATCAGGTTGATCACATGTATTCGAGGAAAATGACAGGTTATGCTTTATCATAAAGAATAACTCAGGATGCTCATGTTCTGGCTGCTCATAAACAAGTTTGTTCTGCCACAATTGTTTTAGATAAGGATGCCAACTAATAAGCCACGATTGAAGTCCAAACTCCTGTTTCCTTGATTGAAGAACAAATAAAAAATTTCAACAACTTTGCAGTATTATCAGGGACTGCAAGTATTTTATTTGTCAGTTTATATGTTTTAAAGTTAGACATTTCTACAATAAAACTATAGATTGAATCCTATGTTTCAGAAGAGTTTTTGCTCGTGTTGCTTGGAAATATTTTTGTTCCACAGAACCTGTGAATATTTTAAACTTCAACATCTAGGGAGTGTATTCTAATGGTTTTTAGAGTGTAAAAAAAATATCCTTCGATTTAAAAAGAAAACACTAACTAAAATTATTAATCTAGAACTTTTACCACCATAATAGAAGATAGATAATTTTTACATTATTGATGGATCTTTTCACAAGATAACTCATGAAATGTCACATGAGATCATACAGAGATGAAAAAAGTTTAGCAAAAAGAAACGGGATTTCACATAAAGGAAAAATGATATCCCATCAAAAGTTGATTTTATAAAGAGCAGCAAGGCATATTGTCAGGCAAGTGCAATTCAAATGATACCCAAATAATCTCTTAGAAAGAGCATATTACTTCTTGAGAGATGCAAGAAGATATGAGAGAACTATTTATCTTTTGCATGAATAAGAACTAGAATACATGTGAAAATGTAGATGAGAAGGTTATTGGTCCACATTTTTAAAAATATACAGTGCCACTAAGTCAAATAATAAGGGAATGAATGCCCCATTATATTAGGCACTACTATGTTATCTTATCAAATTGATAGGCATAAAACAACAATCATAATTAGAGGAAAGTGCAGCAAATCCAAAATTCTTGACAAATCCTGAAGGTACATCTGGATGGTGCGGTCACAGAAACTTAACAACCATGGTAAAATATCACCATGGTTCTGGCCTCTGGATGAAAATGTAAGGTCGAGTAATGGAGGCATTAGGTGCAGAGATAAAACTTCAAAGATCAATAAAAGATGATTCATTCGAGTGCTATGCTTTCAAACCTGGAAAGTAGGTGATTTTAGGTGGCAGTTCTTGAACCGATACATTCGTATATGACATGTTGACAACCCTATGGGTGACAATGTTCAATTGGTATGTCAAGAGGGTGGGGTAGCAAGTCTCAAGTGGAGATGGGAGAACTGTAAATGCTAGGAGTTGAGTGTGTGTGAATAAGAAGGGCAAACACAGTGGAATTTAGAGAAAATCCATTCATAGACATCCATATACAAAAGATGGAAATATCAACCATGCTTTAATCGACAAAAGCCGTTTATAAAAAACATTATGGCATTACATTTCCACTTACCTAGGACCCCACAAAATATGATAATTGGACCAAGGAAATTTAAGATAGATGAAGTTAAGTCACTCGAGATATGAGAGTAACATATTAATCTGTTTGGTATTGGATGAACAAATAGCAATACACAAAAGAGATACACATCAGTTTGTACTTGCTAGAAATAATTAAGATACTCGGATGCTTCATCAAGTTGCACACAAGTGTTCCTAATAGTAATATGAGAATAACTGCATTTAGGTAGTATAGAATAGATGAATATACCAGTGGCTAGTATGGGATCCAAAAGCAGCACATTCCTATCTGCGACGTTCTTTGGAAGATTGTGATAAATTAACTGAAAAATAGACATTGTCAGATCATCAGTCAGAACATTTCCATGAAAAGATTGAGAAGCATTGTGCAAACCTGCTGACCGTTATCACCTTCCCTATGAATAAGGATCTTCCCAATCTTGATGCCTTTACAACATGCCCGCAGAGCATTCTCCATACTTTCACCACTGATATATGCCCACCGGCATAGAAGACGAGTACTTTAATATGTGATAGAGAGAGAGATAGGCACCACATGCACTTGCATAAATGTGTCTGTATGTATTTTTCACTAAGGATGGGGTGGTTGTGGGTTCCAAAACAATAGAATAAAGAAGTGCTAAATGCATTTTCAGGTACATTAATTATGATGATTGGAAAAGTAGACTATATAAAGGATGCCGCTATAACCATCAATAACACTATCCATCATGGTTTGAGTCACTGGTCAGATTATTATATACTGACCAGTAGTTACTGGTAATCGAGAATCAACAAGAGGTCATAAAACAGGCACTAATCAGTATATGAATTTTCTTATTCTGTTTTATAGTGATAATAAACATATTATGATAATATACCGCTTGGTATCTCAGTACCTTACTGCCCTGACAACCAACCAGAAGTAGCATTGGACATCTATTTAAAACATCATTCTTTATCATGTTCACATGTAAACAGAATGTTACATCATAAAAAAATATCATATTAACTTATTAAGAGCCTATTAATAAGAAAACAAAAGAGAATTTATATGTGTATAATAAGAAAACAAATTAGTATATCTACCATTTTTAAACAAAAGAGACAAGATTAGGTAACTTTTTAAGTCTGTCATCTTTGTCAGTTAAAGTATTAACTATTTACAGACTTTTAACAAAATGTTATGACTTACAATGATTTTTGGATTCAACAAAAAACCAACAAACTAAATTGTGAGTAATAATTTTAAAGCCAATGATTTTGAATAATATAAGGGAAGCATACCTTCTTATAATGGAAATACCACATAGCCTTTTACAAAATTCTACCCCAGTATAAACAGATCCTGACATGAGTGAAGCACTAAAAGTTCATGACTGACATTATAACATAAAGAAATAAAAAAAAGAAATTACTCTTCCATGTGGTATAAATATAAATATATAATATTGCTCTACCACTGACAACAGCTATAAGGCACCACTTCCTTGTCAACTTATAAATAAAAAAATAAATATTTAGAACCTTAATTAGCAATTCATTTTGTTTAGAATTCTCACAAGAAAGAAGGTGAAAGAAAGACATAACTGCAGGAGCATAAAATTTTTGAATTTTCAACCTAACCAATAGGAAATAAATATCCAAAATCTAGAAAGACTATACAGTAACATCAAATAACCATGAACTTAGATGATGAATCAGAAGATGAAGCAACAATGATAGTAGTTTACTTAGATGAAAATTCTATTCAAATTTGACACAGGCTGTGCAGTGGGAATATATGAATACCAAAAATATTTTACAATTTAAGTAGCAGGCCATTCCCATCTCACTTGACCATCTAGAAACAAGTCAAGAATTTTCCTTTCAGAGATATTGTATCCATTATTTAGCAAGAAGGGTATGTTGATGAAGACATTGTCCTTAAAGAAGTACAACAGAGTAAAATCCGATGACAGATTGGATAAGCACAACAGAAAACTAGGATGATCAACTTCTGGATGAGATTGAAGATATATGACATACATCATATTATTTTGGAGCAAATAATAGAGGACCAATAGGACAAGACAGCTCAGTATGAGAAGCAAGGCCCAGTGTTGGAATGTGATTGGGATACCCATATCTTATTATCCATGGATAGTAGGACAATGTCTCACTCATTCATCCAGCTACCAAATCAAGAGGTGAAGCCATTCAATGTAGTTTATTAACCCATTATACATTATCAATGAGCAATAAGTCTGTTCAGAAAATAAGACACGTACTTCACATTCTGTCCTTGTGTCCTTAAAGATGGAAGTTAGGTTAAGAATAGTATGTTTATTGATGAGAGTGACCAGGGGTTTTACTTTCCCACTAGATATACAGAGAAGTCAAGCATGAATGGATTAACAATATTTCATTCACATCAAAGAAGATGATGATCATGACACAGATCCACTTGATCTGTTTATGGCTGGAAAGATAAGGAGAAGTTGATTTCAAGGGAGCTAAAAGAATTTAGATAATATCAAGTCAGATGCAAGTTCCTTATGGTCATCACCTTTCCTTTTTTTTTTTGTCATCACTTTTTTGCTAAGCATGAATTTCATAAAAATAATATATCAAGGTTCGCAATATCGTACCGTACCAGCGTTTCGATGTTCGCTCGGTACGGTACGAAACGGTATACCAGTATTTACTAAATAAACCTGTATTAATACTTGACTGAGATTTAAATCCTTGCTAATAACTAATCATTCAAATTAATATGGTGGTACACCAGCAATACATGTGCTATGTATTTGCTCAAGCATAGAGCAATCATGAATTCATTCACACCAGCCCATATATTGCAAAGTACAAAATGCTTTAGAACACCTTAACCAACCCCAGACAAGTACATGGGTTTCGGTTGAAATCTTTCCACAACTAAACTGGAAGAAATTGATGATATTCAGCCAGTCAGTCTGAAGATTTAATCACCTCAACATCTCTTTGAAACCATGGAACTTCTTGCTTGCAATGCCTCCTTCACATGTGAACAGTAGCCAATGCAACAACTAGAGAAGAAGAGAAAGAAGGATAATAAAAGGAGAAGAAGAAAACAGGCACAAGAGGAGGCGATGGATCGAGGTGGGCTTGAAAATAAGGGTTCCAACCTCTCAATGCAATTGAGATTTAAAAGAGAAGTCAACCATCCTTCTCTGTACCTCTCTCTCTCTTTCTCTCTCTCTTTCCTCACGTTATCATGACAAGTGTATGTGAAAGTGGGTTCATGCCGGTTTAATCTAAAACTGGCATATATTCTCACTCTAATGCATTTGTGAGTTTCTATATAAATGATTATATGAGAGCAACAACATCAAAACAATTTTTCAGCATTTAAAGGACCTAAAAACCTAGCAAGAGGGCATATAATCAAGACTCATTCAATTGAGGACAAAACAAAGGACTGCTAAGAAAAGAATAAGTTTCATCCATGCGGTGCTTGGATCAATTTTCCAGTAAAATCTTCTAAACATTTGTTACATATATCCTACAGAAATATGGTCTGCATGGTTTAAATGGATTCATGTCACATATGTATCAATAATAATTTTACAGTATCCGCATCATAGTTTATCTTATCGATCCGTATCGGTGTACCGATCGGTTGTCGGCATGGTACATACTAAATCATACTGACAAATTGACATATGGTATAGTTGGGAGTACCAACTAACCAGTATATACTACCCATACCAATCCCCTATTGGACCGGTACATACCGCCCATATCGAGTGGTATGTCGTGATACCACCCAGTCTAAACTAACACATTCTTTCATGTACAAACAATTGAAAAAAAGAAACCTGTTGGTGTATTCACTTGCTTTTCTTTAAATGGAAGATGACCCAGACCATGCTCAACAACCTATCACAAGGAAAAAGATACAATATGAATTAAAATATTTTTAAAAATAAATCTTAAAGCAAAAAAAGGTTTTACTAACCAGGCGAATCAGTCGGTCAGAATAAAATATGAAATCATGTTTTGTTGTTTTGGCATCACGTATCAGTGTATGCATACCACGGATCTGAAAAATGTTTGCACAATTGTTGTGTATGAGGGCTATAAAGATTTGAAAACTGGAAAAGTTAAAAGATAGGAGATTCAACTATAAATTATCGTAACACACAAAGGAAAAGATAATTTTCAGGATTATCAACAAGTAAACAAACATTTCTTATTACCTGGAAAGTTGACTGAATGACATAAAGATTTGGATATATTTTGCAGAGATTATGTTGGCCAAGTTTTGTACTGATATGTTGCACAATTAAATCAATTGCCACATGATTATCTCCACCACGGGGAATGATGATATCAGCATACTTCTTAGTTGGCAGTATGAAGTCATCAAAAGCAGGTTTTACAAATTTTGAGTACTGCATCAATGAATTATAAAATTAGCAACAATAATTATCACATAGCCAACAGAATAAAATACTGGTACCAAATTTGACATGTACAGAGACATGAGGCACCAAGAAGTGCCAAACATTAGTAATTTTACCATAAATCATAAGCTGCATCAAATCTAGTAGCAGGAAAATAGTTCACCTGGTTTTATGAATAAAGGGGCAGATCTACACCACTACACCTATGAGCTTTTACTAAACCAATCAGCAACACTACCATCAAGAATTACACGGACAATGCCCATCCAGGCCTAGTCTAGAAATGGAAAGAACTCCAATTCATTCTTTCCATTTTAGTGTTTACTCCACTTTCCAAAAAAGAGACCAAGTTTTGGTTTTCTCCATTCCAAAGGTCAAAAAGGTTTAGGAAAATAGTTTCATTTTCCTAAAATCCAAATAAATTCTGTATAGTTTTGATGGAATTAAATTTTCAGTGGAATGCATTTCTCCATTGTTTTTCTTGCAATAAAATATTACTTTAGCAATTTCTTGATGCAACAATGGGGAGTCACCTTTTTGATAAATCCAACGTAACTGCTTATGGTACTCATTCTGCCACTCCAAGTGTAAAATTACTAATACAGAAATACATGTCAACAAGTTTTAAGCTTATGTCAAGAATTTACGAATAAATCCTAACCAAAAGTACTGAAATATGTGAATACATGATCATGTTTCAATACACTCTTCTTCATTTGATTCTCTCAAGCTTGGAAAAGTGAGAAAAAATAAAACTTTCATTAATTAATTTGAAGTTAACCTTTTATTAGTCAACTTTACATTTAATTTGAAGTTGAAAGAAAGCATTTTGATGTAGTTCTTGATGGAGTCTGGACAACCATTTGCATGAAAGAGAAGTTTGTATACTATTTGCAAAAGTAAATACCATCACTCAAATATTTGACAGAGCTTATAATCAAGTACTATCCGTTATCTTTTCTTTACACATTGATCGTATTACCTAATTGAATTTCTTATTCGTTGAAAAAACATCCAGAAAACAAGTCCTACATCTACCCAACTTTCAAATGACATTGTCGAAGCCAAATTATTTGTAACAAAGTTCTAGAGATTCTAACCTGGTCCAGCACTGCCTTAATATCTCTGCCCTTCTCCACAGTATCACGTTTTATCCTCCTAGCCAACCGCACATCAGCATCTGCATGAAATATCCATATAAGGATAGTCTGGTCATAAAGAACATAAGTTGAATAAACAAGTTTACAGAATTACAATTATTGAATATGTTAATCTTTCCTGCTATGTGGCTTATGCAAGTTAATTCGTATATACAAAGGAAGAGAAAGAATATAACCTGTATCAACAAAGATCTTCATGTTCATCATTTCTCGAACACGTGGATCATGGAATACTAAGATCCCTTCCAAAATTATTACATCTGAAGGATTGACCTGAAACAGATTTAGAAAGGTTGGGTTTAATATATTAATTGGTGTAAACTTTTTATCTGAGAAATAGATAAAAATCATAGCTGTTATCCTAAAGAAGATATTGATTGTTGTCACAATTTGTATTATGTAGAACATCAACCAAACTAAATAAACGTTGTCATGATTGGCCAAAATAAGATATTAGAATCTATATTATTTTATTAGCAGAAAATGCCTCAGAAAGTATCACACATTTAGTTTCAGCCAGAAATAAAAGGAAAACAAGTTTAGATTTATAACCAAAGATGATCTAGTTTCCTACTTCCAAAAGATTCCAAAGTTTAGTTTGTGTATAAAAATCTAGTGAAGGTTATGAACTTCAGATTTAAACTGTCATTGGATTAATTAATAAGTCTGAATATAATACATGATTAATTACCTTTCGTGCTGGCAACTTGCTCTTATGAGTTTTGAAATCATAGTTTGGGACATTAACAGCCAGCCCACACCTCAACTTCTCCATACAGCAAAGCAAGTTTTCAGTGTCAAAAGCATCTGAATCAAGAAAGGGGTTGTTACAAAAAAATGACAATTAGAGATGAGGAACAAGGATGCATCTCATTCAAAAAGAAAAACACAAGCATACAGACAATTACTCAAGGATTAAGTACCATTAGATATTGGTTTCAGTAAATTACCAGACTAGTATACTAGTATACTGGTGGTATGCTGATCTATACAGCTTAAAATTTTGAATTAAATAAATTAATAAAAATTTACGAGTATTAAGTCACATGTTTTGATATAAGTACTTGGTTGTATCAGTAAGGACTAGGTACATACAGGTCTAACCAAGGTATACAGTTTTGAATAATACCGCCCGGTACGGGCGGTTAGTACCAGTTTGTCATCTGATCGGTACACGGACCGCCCGTTACCGGACGGTATATATATATATATATATATGTTCGGTATACCGCTCGGTATATAATATCGTACCGTACCGAGCGAATGTCGAAACGCCGGTACGGTACGATATTTCAAACCTTGGGTCTAACCAGTATCTAACTTTAAACCTTACTACAAGTTGTTCTAAAACATAGATGAACTATTGCAATTTTTGCCAATCTAGAAGAGGTTGGCCTTAAGATACATGAGCTTGTTTGATTATTTTACCAGCATTTACTAAATAATCTAGGAAGAACTCTTTACCCTAGACTGCTCTCCTCAAGAGAGGTCTTCACTCTGTTTAGTTTAAGGGTTGAGTCATGCATTCTCCATTTTTAACTAATCTTTTGAGTATATTTCTGATGAATTTCTGTCCCTAAATTTAATTGCTAATTTTGATATTTGATTAGTCATATTTTGTTTTTTTTTTTTTCATTTTCTAGTTCTATTATGGTATAGCTTCGTTTGGAAACTCCTTAAGCCACTAGAAATTTGAACTTGTTTAGTAATTAGTATCTTTGATTATGATTTTAGAGTCATGAAATTTTATAATTTTTGGAAAGTCTTATTGGTAAAAGAATTCTGTGAGTCTAATATAAAACCTCTCTTATGGTTAATTATACCCTAGGTTCAGTGTCAACGATGGAACCAGAGGGAGTTTGAATTTAACTCATTTCTTTGTTTAAAGTGGTTTTTACTTACAATTATCTCACAATAATTCCTGCATGTTTTAGCTTAAAATGATATTTAAATTTATAAATCTGAAGTATTGGACAATGACTTGCATCATATTATCTTTCTGAAATCATTGTTAAGACAATTTTATGTACTATTTCTAGAATTTCAGCAGCTTTATGCTTTCATTTCAATTCAATGAGTTGCAGTAATCCTCTTAGAAACCCCATCAACACTTGTTCTACGTCAAATTGCTACCAAAATTTCCTGGTTTAACAAGAAATTCTAACAATCAATGTCAAAAGCTGAAATCTATGGTTCATCCTATGACAATCATTTCATGGACATCTATTTCTCCAGTGAGGAGCTTGATTTGAATGATTTCCATGATATTATAGCAGCTCCCTGCAAGCCGTGATATCCCAACTATGTGCCCAACTTGATAACAACAACAAGCCATGATGCTCCAACTATCTGGGACAGGCTACATGAGTTTTTTGCTGCCATTGAGTTCTATGAAAAGCCACATTGTTGGTTAATTAACATTATTTAAATCCTTATTTATGATATCTTTTATACTTTATTTTGGACTCCCTCTGCCTCTCCTCTTATCACTAAACTAGTCATCTCATATCTTCTAAGTTCTAACTACAGAATTTATAGGCCTCCTTAGTGCATATCTATATAATCTCAAATGATTCTCCTTCATCTTATCATTGATTGAAACAATATGTATAGTTTATGAATAAAAAAATTATCTTGTCGTATCCTTTCTAGTAATTCCATACATTCAATTCAACACTCTAAAGTCTAATCTCAACAACATAAATTTTTGGTATATGATTCTTAACCACATGTTATTTTTAACCACAATAATACTTGTTAATGATAACAAAATAAAGAAAAGATGGAGAATTTATTTTTATAAATTATTTAATGAATATTCCACATACGATTTAAATTTAATGCTAAATAATTATGGTAGATTTAATAATTATAGATTTGTTCGTAAAATTAGAGCTAGTGAAGTGAAAGACATATTAAAGATGAAAAAAGTGTGGAACTTGATAATATCCCTATTGATGTCTGAAAAAGTTTAAGAGATAAAGGAGTAGCTTAGTTAACTAGCTTATTTAATAAATTCATAAAATTCAAAAAGATTTTTTATTATTAAAGAAAGACTTTTTTAGTATTAATTTATAAGAATAAGGGTGACATAGAAAATTGTTCAAATCAAGGTTCGCAATATCGTACCATACCGTACCGGCGTTTCGACGTTCGCTCGGTATGGTACGAAACAGTATACCGAGCG